GGCACGCCTCCACACAGTAAAGAGAGGGGCCCCATTCATGCCTCCACACAGGGAACATGGGCGCCCCCAGGCACGCCTCCACACAGTAAAGAGAGAGGGGCCCCATTCATGCCTCCACACAGTCAGTCATGGAGCCCGGGGCCCCAGCCACACCTCTGCACACAGAGCCCCGCCCTAAGCCACACCTTCACACAGTCAGGGACCCAGTGATGACACCTCCTGGAGGGATGACATCTGGTGGGATCAGGAAGATAAAGACAGGGCGGCAACTCTGGGTGTCAGATGGACAGGGAACAGCATTCTTGGTGGGGGGGGGTTGGCATGTGCAAAGGCCCGCAGGCAGGAGAGCTGGCAGGCAGGAACACAGTGGTGTGGGCCTGAGGGATGGGGGGCAGGAGAGTGGTGCGTGCAGGCCACAGGCTCAGTGGGGGGCACCTGTGGCCTCGCCCATCCTGCCGCCCACGGCTCTGCCTGCAGGTGTGGCTGTGTGACCATGCTCAAGTCGCCCAATAAGACGACGGCGGTGAAGCAGTGGGAGCAACGCTGGATCAAGAACTGCCTGTGTGGGGGGCTCTGGAGACGCATGCGGCTCAGCCAGCCCTGACCTCCGGGCCGCGGGCCTGGGGATGCATTCCTGGTGCTGGTCATGGAGGTGGCGCCCTGGCTCCTCCCCATGCCTGTGACGAAACATCCCATGTGTTCTGGGCCTGCCTTGGCAGCCCGGGAGAAGAGGATGTTATGTGCCGTCAGTCGGCTCTGACTCATAGCAACCCCTCCTTGGGTTTCTGAGGCAGTATCACACGGAAGTAGACTGCCCAACCTTCCTTCCGAGAAGTGGCTGGCCTGGCTCTGAAGGGGGCTGTTGGGCCACTCTAGGGGCTGGTACCTGCAAAAGTGGACCAGGGAGTGAGGACACAGGCCACCTAACTGGTGCTCAGTTGGTGTGAGCCTCAAGCTTTCTCTATGACTCTTTGGCACCTGCGTCCTGGGGGGGCAGACTGCCCCGGGGTGCCCGGTGGACCAGATCCAGACCTCCAGGCGCACATCAGTGTCCACCCCAGCCCAGTGCCCGGCTCCTCTCACAGGGTAAGGGCATCTCATTTCAAAGGGCCTGGTGGCTGTGCCTGGGTTGCCTAGTTTCCCACTAACCTTGTCCCTGGCAGTGCTGGGCTGTGCCACGGGAGTGGCTCTGAAGCTGGGAAGTGAGGCTGGGAAGGGGTGCCCAATAAATCACGAGCAGGGGCCTCACAAGCATGTGTGGTGTTGCCCCAGCACAGAGCACCCACAGTGGACCCCACCTCCCTGGCCCCCTCCGGTCTGGTCTTTGCACCTGCGTCACTCTCTCTCTGTCTTTACGTGGTTCAATGTTCATTGGGCACCTGTGGGTGCTTGGGACCAGGTACCTGCCGTGAGCAGAGGGGTGGGGCTTGGGTGTCTCCCTCATTTCTGCCTGTCTGCCCCCTCCCACCCGCCCCAAATTCCCCTCCTGTTTCCGGCAGCTCAGCTCAGACTCCAGCGTCCTACCCTCAGCCCCCAGCCAGCACTCCGACTGATTGTGGCTGATCTCTGCGGCCCCGAGGCAGACGGGCCTGGCAGGCACAGTGCCTGGCCCGCTATGTGTGTGGGGTGGTGGTAATTGCTTGTTCCCATTGAAGGCTCCAGGGCAGGGTGGGCAGGGCAGGGTCTTGCTGGGTGAGCTCTGGGCACTGACTGGGTCCCTGACCTCATGCCCCCCGAAGCAGCACCACTGGACGCAGGAGCCCAGTCGGGCACCAGACTTAACATCTCAGACACAAAGGGGACCATGAGTCCTCATGGGCCAGGCTGGGCCCCTGCTGCATGGTAGGGGTGGGCCCCAATAGCTAGTAGGAGAATGGGCAAGGTGCGTCCGGCCCGGGCTCTACTCACGGTCATCTCCCTGTCACTGCCCAGAAGGGTGACATGAAGCCCACCAACCTTCCTCACTCCATTATATCGGACCCGGGAGCACTTGGGGACGGCGCGCCCTGGGTTTGAACCCCAGCTCTGCCACAGAGCTGTGTGAGCTCAGGAGCGACACCCAGCCCCTCAGAGCCTGTTTCCTCTTCTGGGAATGGGGCCGTCGGACTGGATGTCAGAGGGTCTCTGTGTCCCTGTGTATCAGCACAGAGCAGCGTTTGCACACAGGAGACCATCAGGGGCCACTTGGGAAACAGGAAGAGCCGGCTGTCAACCCGATGCAGAGGGAATGACCCCGACGGCCGTTCCTCCTCCGCCTTCCCGGGAAGGATAAGGGCGCCACCGTGCGGCCGAGGCGCGGAACGACACCTGGCGCCTTCGGCCGGCGCGGGAGGCGGTGCGTCCTCTGCTCCTCGGCGCGGAGCTCGGGTTCTCGATGTTTTCCCCGCGCACACGCGGTGCTGTTAGCTGTGGGCACCCGCCGCCCCCTCCGCGGTTCCGCTGCAGTGAGTGCTGATCGGTGCAGGACTGAATGACTTTATTGCTGGGTCCCCCTACCCCTCGTGACCGCTGGCCCGGCGCCGGGTCCTCTTCAGGCCACCTCGCCCTCGGCCATGACGCTGTCGATCCAGGCCGCGTAGCTCGCCACGCGCGTGTAGATCCCGGGCTTCTTGCGGTTCCCGCAGACCCTGGAGCCGGAGGTGACCACGCCCTCGGCCACGCCCCCGCAGACCAGCGGACCCCCGGAGTCGCCCTGCGTGGGGCGGGCGGTGAGTGTGGGGGCACCAGGCCTGCCACCTACCTGGGCCCTCTCTCTGCTCCAGACCCTCCTCCCGACCTCTTCCTTCTGGAAACCTCTATCAGCGGGTCCGGCCCTCTGCAACTCAGCTCTTTCCTCTGGCCCCAGCTGGTTCCTTACCTGTCAATCTCTCAGGCCCCGCCCCCCAAAGCGGGCTCCACCCGCCATCTTAGGCCCCGCCCC